CAGATGACAAAGCTTGGAAGCATTGTGAACAATGAAGCAGATGGTGTAGGATAGCAAAGTCATATGCATAGTGAAATGGTCAGAAAGGTGAAATGTAATGTGAAAGTGGGTGAAATGATTAATTTAGCATGAAGGCAGCAGAGAAACAATACAAAGTAAAAGATACAAATTTAAAAGAGAGCAGGAACAGAGGGACCAAGTCAATATATAGGAAAATTCCTAAACGTGGCAGGGCACATCAAGTGAACAATGAATGAAGGATGTGGCATCCTAGGCTTCATTAGTGGTTGTAAAGTCTACAAGCAATAAATTTTATTAAACTTCTACAAAATACTGGCTCAGCCTCATCTGGATTATTGCATCTATTTCTGGGCACCATATTTTAGGGTATGAAGAGATTAGAGAGGATGCAGAAAAAATGCTTCCAGGGCTGAGAAAGTTCAGTTACACAAGACAGACTGAAGAGAATGGTCTTTCTCCTTGAAGAGGAGATTAATAGAGGTATTCAAAATTTCAGGGTTCAGATAGGGACAAAACAACAGTGCAATGATCAAGAACCAGAGAGAACAGATTTAAGGTATTTGGCAAAAGAAACAAAAGCAACACAAGGAGAAACTTATTCACGCAGTAAATGGTTAGCATCTGGTATGCACTGCCTGAGACTGTGGCAAAAGCAGGGTGAATTTAGACTATCAAGAGGGAATTAGATCATTATCTAGAAAGGAAAATGTTGCAGCACTACACGAAAAAGACAGTAGTGGCTCTAGATGAAGTGCTCCTTTGGAAGACCAGCAGACATGACAGACCAAATGACCTCTTTCTATGCTGTAACCATTCCATTATTCTAGAAAGATAGTTCATGAGCTTAATTTAAAAAAAAAACAGAAAGCTAAAGACAGATGTTAAACTTGGAGAAAGAACTGAAGTAGCAAGAAATTGGGAGCTCAGGGTTGCATCTTCAGACAAAGCAGAGGACTGTTAGCAGAAGTTACCTAACTGATGTTCAGTTTCCAGACTACACAAAAGGCCCCAACAAGATCAAGGAATACAGAACTTCATTTGTTTAAAGAATATTGGGATATCCTGTGGTCATGGTAGGCCTTTCTTCCTGAATTTGGAAGAAGTTCACATAAACTGTTGCTCCGTAGGTGTTAAGATTTAGGCACACGGTCAATGGACAATCATTGCACCTAAGCTTAAGCTTCATAAATAGCTTTAGCCAGTTAAACATACTTGGAGGCCCTCAACTATTAAATGCACTGTAAATGTCCTACCATTCACAAACACATCTCATGCTTATAAAATAGACAGACAATCTAGAAGTATTATTAGGAGAAACACTGATAGTCGTATTGTTTTAGGACATGCAGTTTTAAAGACGTTAAACTAAAAAGTGTACGAGATCTGCAAAAGTGTAACTGAAACAATATGTAAGTTGGGAATCTTACAGCAGCTGCTCCGGCAGTCTGTTGGATTACAGTGTGACCTCTCACCCCTTCACCAATAGCCAATGAGCTGAAGCCACACAGTCTCCCAGATTTGTCATCACTATAACTCAGAAGTAAAAAAAAGTGACTGAGACTTCACATGGAAAGGCCGAAATGTACCTGACGGGAACCCTCCCTCACACCATCACACCGGTATTGCACACACTCACAGCCTACATTGCCCCTGCTCAGTACCTCATAAGCAGCCCCCAAATCCTGGAATTTAGCCTGCGCTGCCGGATCGTCGGGGTTTCTGTCGGGGTGCAGCTGCAGTGCCAGTTTGCGATAAGCCTTCTTGATATCCTTCACCGAGGCGCTTTTAGACACCCCCAGAATCTTGTAGAAATCCCGCCTGTCCTCAGACACACACACACACACAAAAAAACACAAGAGATATAAAGAAAATACATACAACTGAAATAAGACCTTACAGCCCCTTCATTGACTGATGAACAACGCACTTGGCAAACCCAGTAATTTTGTTTGTTAACAGAGAACTGAACAAGTTCCCACCCGGTAATCACACCGGGGGGTCACTCTAACGCGTTAATATCCATGATATTCATTCAATGAAGGGAGGGTAGATAGGAAGAGCTGTAGGAACCTGAGCCGGAGATTTCTCCCTCTCCCCTCTCACTTACCCTGTCAGCACCTCCCCGCTCAGACACAGCAGCACAATACACACAGAGCGCACACCAGCCGCCATGCTGCACACTTTTCCTCCTTCCCTTCCCTTCCTTGTTCTTTTTTTTTGTTGTTTTGGCTCCGCTGCCCACGTTACTCTCTACGAGCTAGTGAGCGGCAACTACCGGCAGAGGCAGCCTAACAGAATCGCCGCTTCCTCATGCCTGACGCTTTCAGGAGGGGAGGAGTCCAAGCTTCCTACTCCGACTGCTAACCTCCTCATTCGTTTGCATTCGTGCCGACGCATATTTTACGAGAAAGGGGTTGGGCAGAGGAAGAGGAGGGCACGGGGGTGGAGTATGTGTGTGTGTGTGTGTTCGTGCAGGAAATTATGCGCAGAATTCTAATAAGTCAAAAACGGAACTAAAAATAAGCAAGGCGGGAAATTTCATTTATATTTTCGCCTTCATTTAAAAAAAGCTTATTAGCATTGTAAGTTTTTTTAAGGTTAAAAACATGTAATATTGAGTTAAAGTTAAATGATAAAGTGTTATTGCATTAGAAAATGTACAGTGCTGTGTAAGTTTTTTTATTTCAAAAGCTTAGTTGCATCACAATGCATTAGTCCAAGAAGTGTTAAAGGCTTCTTCCCGGAAAATGGAAAATACCGTTAGAGGATAAGTGTTTTGAGAGAAGATTGAATAATTATTTGAGGACGACTAAGAATCTAATTTTGAGAGTAAATTGTGTGCGGTGGCAATAAAAAGATGACATAGATGGTCATCTGTGGTGGACATGTTCTGTGATTCTAAATAAACTTAAAGGTGATCACATCTCATTTATTGTTTGTTGTCTGCAATTATGTACAGCATCTCTAAACTGCCTTGGTACCTCTTCTCCATCTTCAAAAGCATCTCCCCTTGGTCATCTCTATTTACTTTTCTTAGTACAACTTTGTGAAGTATCTTAGGAAATTTTACTAAGCTGTAACATTAATGTAAGTTTTTGTTCCTTACCAGATGGATTTTGCTTTTACATAAATGTATTCAAAGATATTGGATTCATAAGATAAATGATGAAACTTCAAAATAATTCACAATCCATTTTGCCTGTAGGATTGTGATTTGGATCAATTGAGACTCATAAGGAGAAATAATCTGACTATTGTGAAATAAGAGACTTGTATTTATATAGCAATTTTTGAAACTCCCTGATATTACAAAGCAATTTGAAGCCCATTAAGTACCTATGAAGTACTGTCACTTTTGTAATTTAGGAAACATTGCAATCAATTTGCACTCAGAAAACTCCTACAAGCGGCAGCAACATAAGCTAGAATGAGGCACTGGCTGCTTTGGTGTGGTGTGCCCAGCTTTGAGTTTGAGCCCAGTTTGGGACCCGTGAGCTTCAGCAGTGGTAGCACTGCCGAGATTGGCCCAGCTTGGACTCATGGTGGCGATGATGTTAGTGGAGGCAAGATGGTGCCGAACAGTGGCGACACGGTTCTAGTGGTGGTGGTGGGGCTCCAGGACATGGCTGGGCCCGGGTATCTGACAGTAGAGACGGTGGCGTTCTGGCTGCAGTGATGTGCGGGGACTTGGAGCATCTAAGTATTTGCAGACTGAGGGATGGACTTTGTGACTGTTTTTCTGGCAGCAAGGACTGATGGTGGAGGTGGGGGAGTGATCTGGACATTTCCTTTTGTTTTGGTTGTTTCTTTTATTTCTGCTTGTGTTTTTCTCCTGTGTTTATACTAAAATGGCACTAGAGAATGGTGACTTTGTACATTTTTCCTTGTACTACTGTACCTGAGTATATGTGACAATAAAATCTAAATTTAAAAACAGCAATGTGATAGTGACCAAATTATGCTTATTTTTTAAAATGTCAGTTGAGGGATAAATATTAGCCAGGCCTCCAGGGATAATTCCCCTGTTCTTCATTGAATTAGTTTCAAGGGATCTTTTACATCAACAAAGCAGGCAGATGGGACCTCGGTTTAGCATCATATCCACAAGACATAAAGTTTCAAACAGTGCAATGCTTCGGCAGTTTTGTACTGGAAGTTTCAGTCTTGATTTTTGTGCCCTGGAGTGTAACTTGAACCCAGAACCTAGGCATTTAGAGGAAACAGCACTACAAAATGTATTAGGAAAACAAGTTATGACATTTCAGTTATGTATTCATCTGAATTGACTATTGATTTATAAACCTATTAGCAGAATTTCAGGTTCTATATCAAATTTTCAGTATGTTGCACGTTCTCCTTTTTATCTACATTGTATGTATCACTATGGAGATATCTCTTGTGCATTCCCTTCAATTAATTGACTAAGTCAGGAGAGGAAGAAATTTTTATGCTGGAGATATTTATATTTTACATTTTCATACCTAATTTCCTAGACCACTGTCTCAACAAGAGTTCGTGAAGCAGGCATACTGAAACATGGGAAGGTGAAATTGCCATGGGTTAATTCATGAAACAGAAGTAAAATATGGTTGCTGGAAACTAAAACAAAAATATCTGAAAATACTCTGCAGATTAGGCAGCATTTGTCAGAAATTTAGGGATAGCTGATCTAAAATATTAACTTTGTTTTCTTTCCACCTGATGCAACCTGAGAGGTTCTGTATTTCTAGCATTTTCTATTAACTGATAAAACATTTTATTTTGGGAGCGGGGATAAGGTTCCAGATTTTTGTGCTCCAGGTGAGTGGTTTGAGCGCTGGAAGATGGGTCACCACAACTTTTTGGATCTAATGTTAATACCAAGCAATCAAAAAGAAGCAGAATACTGCAATGTGGATACAAAGAGAGAGAGAAAAAGAAAATGCTGGGAAATAGAATTAATGGTTCAGGTTTTGTGGAACAGCCTATGAGCTAGGAGGATCTATGGTAAGGTCGAACATTTTTAACTTTTCTCAGCCCTGACGAATGGTCACGTATCAGAAACGTTCACTGTCTCTCCATCTTCGCAGATGCCGCCTAAACTTTTTTTTTAAGCATTTTCTGTGCTTAGAGGTTGTGTACACACTGAAAATGCAAAGTCCTGCTTATTGTCGTCCAGCAAGAGAAGGCCATTGATTAAGACTCGGGCGGACCGGCTACAGGAATGTGACCGAGAGAAGCTGGAGTAAGACAACTGAAACTTGGTTGCGTTGAAACCAAGTCCAAAGCTCAAACAAAAACATATTTGTTTAAAATCCCCAAATAGCGAAATGGCCAGGTGTGGACAGAATTGCACCGCCTTGTAGATATTCCGGGGTGTACTTATGTAAATGTGCATATTTCGGTCTGTGTATGAGATAATGTCTCTGTTAGTCCTATCCGTTGGTAACTGCGATGACATGCAACAGGCTTGTTGCAAGTGGTAGTACGGCCTGAGGATGCTGCTGCCGCCGCCACGCCTGCCTCCGGTGGGCTGAAGCCCTCCTTTCCGCCGCCCTTCGTAGTGTCTCGGGCTCGGAGCTGCACACCGCGAGCGGCGGCGGAGACTGCAGGGAGAGAGGCACCGCCTGGCTCTGGCTGCGGACACTCTGCGGGCCTGGTAAGCAGCGCCGTGTTAATGGTCTGATTCATGGAGGGATTGTAGTGACTGAGGGGCCGGATAGCCTCCCCTTCCCTGACCCAGGCGGGCTGTGCTGGGAGGAAGGAAACTGCTTTGCTGCTGGCAGGAAACACGGTGTCCAGCTGTTGTTTTGTATTTGTTTTCTTCATAATCAACTTTCCCTTTTGCTTCTGAACTGCATGTGTATATAGTCACGTTCATCCCTTTCTTCCCGCTAAATCTGCCCAGTTGAAAACGACTTGTTTCTCTCTCTTACCCCATCTCCACTTTTAAGTAAACAAACGTTGATTTATAACAGATAGCCTCTGAAGTACAAAAGGTGAAGGGAAACTTGTCAGAGCGAAATCAAAATGTGGTTGCTGGCCCCTAAAGGGCCCACTGATTCCCTAAAGGCCTCATTGAGCCAGTGGACCTCAGAAAAGGGGCAGATACCAGCAAGGAGCCACCACCCCCTCCAAAGCCTGCTGCCTAAGTCTGTTGAAGGCCACTTTGGCCATGCCGAGGAGCTATCCCACAAGGAGGTGCTCTGATCTGTCCACCCCTTCTTCTCTCAGGGTGCCCATAAATCAGCAGCGTGGGGCAAAAGTGCAACCAGAAAATTAAAAGCAACCCCTTTTTAAAAAAATCAAAACAGTTATTCCAAACAAAAACATGAAAAATTTATTCCCCCAAGTCACAAAAGCTAAATGTGGCCCGTAAATCTACTTTAAATTTAAATTGCATGAGACTACTGCAGGGAACACTCTCCATCCAAGATCCCTGATGGAAAGAAGAGGATTTCCTGATAAAAAGCTGTCCACTGGGTATTTCTGTTGTTAGAAGGTAAAACATTATTCCAAGCTGTATTTGGGTAGTCATCAAAGAGGAAGTGGAAATTGTGCAGCAGTCCATACAGGAAAACACTGTTGTTTTGAAAGATCCCAAGGGAGGTTTTGGTTTCAGGTGCCAATGTCAAATTCCAAACAAAAAGGAATCAGTTCACCTGGAAGCTCACCAGACACTCCAGCCACTTTGACGCCCCACCCCCATGAGTTCCTCAAGTACCGCAGGCTTTAGCTGCGTAGTGGTTGTTAGTCAATGCTGTGACATCCAATTGCACTGGTGTCGTTCAGCCCACTCCTCTGCCATCCAGTACATCAGAGTCTGGCCACGTTAACACCCTAGCCACCACCTGTACCTGAAACCTTGCTAACAGAGAGCCCTGTTCCTGAGCAGCACCTCCCTTATGACAGCTGCCACTTCAACAAACAGTAAACTACAGTAAGAAGGTTGTATTATGCCAGAAGAATTGTATGTTTAGCCAGAGAAACTGGGCCAAAGCACTATGCAGAGCTACCTGCATTTGAACTCAGGATGGCAAATGTCAAATAATTTAAATTCCCCAGTTGCTGTGGATGGATTTGAACTTTCATTTACGAAATGGTACTCTAGCCTTAAATATTGCAAACCCACTTAGATATCTACAATGCTACCATAATCCCTGCAAATTATTTCTTATCTAACTCTTTTGACCCTCTAATCTGTTGAAACCCTTTTTCACTTTGTTCCTCCTTCCTACAATCTCCAACCTTTTAAGACTGAAGTAAGCCGTCACCTAATCTATATAGCTTTGTTTTCAATTTTTGTATTTTACAATATTAATCTTGGTTTTGGGTTTCCCTGCTTAAAAAGAATGCTGATTTAATATTTACAGATTGTCTCTGAATCTCTCCAATACCTAGGTACGGAAGTAGAGAAGTTAATATAACCTGGCGCCATAGTGGAACACCTTTAACAAATTTATTGGATTAATCCTGACTACAGTTTAAAATTTAGCACCTCCAAGTAAACAAAATCTGTACGCAATTTCCTTCTAAAGTTTAGTTTATACCTTTATATCAAAGTCGCAATTTCATTAGTTTAGCTGTCTGAGTGCAACTCCAGTAGGAGACCAGGGAGGTACAAAGGCTGATCAAAGCACTGCAATTTCAATGTTGTTTATCATTTTAATAACGATTAAAATCAGCGCTAAATGTTACTGATATGAACACAGTAGAGATTCAGTATACCTGAAGGGTTTTGCATTACAGAGGTGCAAGACACAATAATAAGAAAACTAGTGAATTATTTTAATTTTTCATTTTGGTGGTTATTGGGGATTATTTTAGTTTCTAGAGTACATTGCCTCCAACTCTGTTTTCTCTGTGCAGAGCTCATATTACTTTATATTTGATTCACGAACATAGTTTTGCTTCACTGGGAGAATGTGAATATGTTTTCAATGAGGAATCTTTTGAGTATCGTCAAACTTTATTTATTGGAATCACATTGAGATGGTAGTTCCATTTTAATTAATATTTATGTTTTCTTTCAGATAAATAATCTCCACATATCTGAAAAGATTCTTCAAAGTAAACTATTTTTGACTGTTCTTGTGGGATTATTCTTCGTTAAAACAGAAAAATAGAATAAATTTGAAAATAGAAAAGGTGGTGAAAATTAAAATTGCAGACAGTAAGTCCTCACTTGATGATGTTTTCATGTTCCTGAAAAAGTGCAACTTTATTCAAACAACTTTAATCAAGTTAGTCTTGCCCATTAAAACTGGTGTAAAAGCTGCAGTTAGTTTCTGTAGGACCTTTCTCATCAGGAAAAAGAATAAAAAAAATTATATCCTGTTGTTGAAATACCAATAACAATTTAGCAATGTAAAGTAACTTGAAAAATTTAAAAATAATAGAAATATCCTAACTTACTAATTACCTCCCACTTGTTGCCTCTCCTGTTCATCATCCATCCTTCTTGCTGAACTCCTGCTTTCCAAATGCGCTGCTCCATGATACTCCCTCTTGCCCACGCTCCTCTCCTTATCTCCTTATCTTAAGTCCTCTCTTTCTCCAATCCTTCCAGCTGCTGTGGATCCTTCCTCCTCATGAACCTAATTCCCTGCTTCTACCACTCACCACTTCCTTCTCCTGAACAGTTAGTGTGAGGGGTCTGGACATAAACAGTGCAAGGCAAAATGTGCGGATTTAACTTGTGGGAATTAACCAAGTCAGAGAGTTGACGCCAAGAGAAAGAGTCAGGGAGCATCACTATCGGTGAACTGGAGGGTTAACATTGAGAAGAGGGGTAAAGGAGTAGAAGAGACAGATACATATTGCCAGTCAAGTCACCCGGTTCAAAACAACCTTAAAATGAAAGTCCTGTTGGTGAAGGCAAATTGGGGTGCCAGTCACTGACCAACATGGAGGAGGAACACTAAAACAGGAATTTACTTCAGCCAACTCATTCCGACACAACTGATTGAAGTCAGCATTAGCAATAAACTAGAGTCACTCTTGGGATGAAAATCATTTCTAGCTTCTATTGCTATAACTAAGCCAACTCTGAAGTAAAATATTTTCTTTTCTGCAGAAATGGAGCAGCCAAGTGTTCGTCTTTGGGTCAAATATGAAACCTTCATTGTTGGGGTATTGCAGATCCCACCTCCTTCAAAATTCAGTATGCACTACCTTCGAAAAATGGCAACATATGTTCGAACAAAGGGAGGAGATGGTAGTTATCCCAGACTTTCTTGGCCTATGTGGAGGCACATTGCTTGTGGAAAATTGCAACTGGCTGAATATTTGGCTTGGCTGTATTTTGAAACATTTGACAGTCTTTTAGAGAGAAGTTCAGAGGAGAGGCTGGAGTGGGCTGAGGCAGTATCTCATTGCAGGTCGGAAGAGGAAATTGACAAACTGAAAAATAAGGTATTGACTTTAATTTTGGTGAATACATCATTTTACTACGCAATAGAAAAATTTAAGTATTACTTAAAAATTCCCTGCAATATACTACTGGCTGGCTTTATGAACTTTGAGTAGTGATTATAAACAACTCTTATCAAGAGCACTGATGAGGTATGCTGGCACATAACCATCTCCATGTAGACCCTAAATTGTGGATGTGCTTTATTAAGAAGGAACCAAGAGAGTGATTTCACATCTATATTAGATTGACAATTATCAATGCAAATCTATTATAGATCCTTCATGATCTCCAAAATCATCAGGTATATTTGTTTAGGAAGCAGCCTTATTAACACTTCATGTCATTTATTCCGTACACAGTTGACATTAGCTTTATGAAACAAAACAAAATATTTAAATGAAATGGCAATGACTAAACACCCCTAATTTAAGAATTTTGACTCCAAACTGTGGCAAGGAATTCAATTTCAATATCAGCCATCACTTTTGGTCAAATTTAAGTTGCCTTCATTCAGTCTTGGGCAGAAAATGGAATAGTGAATCTGAGAAGATAGCTATGGAAACATTTATCCCAATGCAAAAAAAAACTGTATTTGGTGTCCATTGGAGGAGGACCAAAGATTCTGCTGCTGGACATATTTATGATCAAGTGTGCCGCCATGTTAGCTAAAGAACTATAATGAAAGGATGGCACAGTGACATTCAAGTTCACACAAGTTTCACTTGCTTGGTGAGAGTCCCTCCAGGTCTTATTGAAAAATTGTACTTGAAAATCATTCAGTTTAATTAGCACTGTAAATTTCAAGTAGCTTTTCCGTTATAGATATACAGTTGGGTTTGTAAAATATAATTTTCTTTCATCTCTTTAATTCCCTTCTAACTGAATTCTTAAATAAAGTACAAAGCTAGTGATCAAAGATTAACTGTAATCATTCTACCAGCATTTTAAAAAATCTGTAATTTACAATAAATCTGCTATATTGATGTACAATATCCCTAGCTAACCTTTGCATATAACTGCTTCCTCCTTCCACAGTAACCAGATTTTGTACTTAACACAGATTAAAGTTGGTGTATGAGAAACGCCTGGTCTGCATAGAACTGCTGCTTACCACGTGATGCATTTTCTTACTGAACTATCGGGTAGATAGAAGAATTTTTAATTACCATCAGAACCTTCTAATAATGAATTTATCCCAGTGTTTATAACTGAACTATATTATAATATCTCATACATCTTATTGATTATCAATTGTAGATTACATTTAATAAAAAGCACATTTCAGAAGACCTTCATTACAAAAATAGTGCAGGTTAATAATTAATTGGAGATTTTCTAATCTCATCCATCATAATGATTGACAGCTCCATCATTAAGAAAAGAAGTGGCATCATTGGATAAGTATTTTGGGCACAAGGCTAAATAGGGGTAATAAAGAAATCTGGGAAGTCAGATGATATCCTTTTCACTAGGTATGAGGAAATTCAGGAAAAATTAAGGGTATGTCTTCTTGAGGCTATCCAGACTTGTATCTTGATTGAAGAGAAGGCTTTTACAATGGATCTTTTAATGATGTTAGCTTTAAAATGAAAAAGAAATGAAATCAGCAATATGTTTTTGACAAGGCCTCAATGTTAATTCATTAGAATTATTAATAGTAATTTAATAGGTTTTATTGTGAAGTTATTAAAAAGATCGCCTTATATTTTATGCTTTCTATTTTGGTGAGATACTTCATGGGGGCATTTATATATTCTGCAATTTTTAAACAAACACTAAATTGAGCCTTTTTTTTTACCTCCCAGCTGTCAGTAGACACACTGCAGTTCCTGCTGTTTCTGTACGTACAGCAGCTGAACAAAGTTTCTCTTCGAACATCCTTGATTGGAGAGGAATGGCCAAGTCCCAGGTGTCGATCACCTGATCTGGATGGAAAATCTAATTCTCAGAACAGGGTAGGTTTTTGTATGATGAATAAAATGCTGCCTGACTAATGAAAAGAAAGTACACAAACAAGGAAACTGCTTTGATTAATTGTACTAATTTTTAAAAAGCTATTCAATACTCTAGTCTGTGCACAAGCATGACCCTGACCTTCCCCGTAGCCGGTCATTTTAACACAGTGTCCTGATCGCATGCCCACTTTTCTGTCCTTGGCATGCTGCAGTGCTCCAGTGAATCACAATGCAAATTGGAAGAACAACTCATCCTCAGACTAAGCACTTTACAGCCTTCCAGATTTAAGATTAAGTTCAACACCATCAAATTTCTTCCGTTTCTTTTATCTTTACTTGTTACGTTCTCTGTCACCATGTCCTCTCTCCCCTCCTCCCACCCCAGTGGGACTGTCTATTCTTTCAAGTCTGGCAGTTAGACACACCATTGTTATGCTGTTCTCACATTCTGATCACTTAATCTGAACTACCAACATCTTTTCTCTCCCAGCGCTGTATACCACCACCCCATTGCATAAATGCTGCCCTCTCCGCACTTCATTCTGATGACGAGTCATGCAGATTTGAAACGTTAGCTTGCTCTCTCTACATGGATGCTGTCTGACCTGCTGTGATCTCTAACATTTGTTGTTTTCACTACAGATTCCAGCATCTGAAGTACTTTGCTACTTCTACACAGTATAATTCACTTTATTGAACGTGATTTTTTAGTTGATGAGCATAAAATAAGTATGCCAATTCTGCACTCCCCAATCTCAAAACTAATTTGTAAATAATTACAGTGGAGTTTTTGAAATTGCATGGAAAAAAATTAATTATAAATAGGATCATGGTTATAAATCCTGTATTTTTCACAAATGGAGCATGCCAGTTTATTGCTGATATCTCCTATCAGTACCTGATTAAGTGCCAGTCTAGATACATTCTAGTTATATTCAAAAGTTAACATTTTCATGTATTGTAAAATCTCTATTTAGGATTAAGTCAGTTTCTTGCTTATTAAAACATGAATTTGAATGCGTTGTGTTGTGCAAGTTTAAGATGTATTCTTTTAAATCTTCATAAATATAGTTTAATTAGTGGTTTTGAGTTTTAATCTCCATTTTTGTTGCATGTAACAGATAGTCATAAGGCCCATGATGTTTGCCTGTATCACTTCCTCCAGCTGATTTGAATTTTCTCATCAAAAAATCTTAATTATTTTCTATGTCCCAGCCCTGTTAATTATTATCCAAAATGATCTACTCTTGCTTTCCTCATGCTGCAGCTGCCTGTTTTTCTAGAAGTTCACCTAGTTCCACCATAACGACTCTAAAATTCAATGTCCAATCCTGGTCCATTGGCTTAGTTGTTCTGAGAACAAAAAATTTCCAGACATGGTTTTTTCCATGGTTCCTCCATGCATGTGGTAGGTCTTATCCTAACTATCTCAATCAACTCATTGATCTTATCTTTATAAGCTTCTAAATACCTGGATCAGACTGCTTTAATCGCCACATTTCACTAATGGATGCCTATCTGTTGCATCAAGACTTTGTTTATAACTCGGTGCTTTTAGGTTGGAGTTTGGATATGTTGCACTGCCTGGACGTAATTACCTCCCTCTGCTGTAAGTATCTATGGTTCTTAAGATTCAGAATATTCTTCGTGAAGTGGGTGAGCCAGAATGAAAGATATTGAGGTTCTTTTTAAACTTTAACTTTAAGACCTATGTCAATTACAATTATAGATTGGTTCTCTCAAGCTCAATATAAACATTTGCTAGTCCTGATTAGTTCTAATTCCCATTTCAGGTGCAGATTTCAAAATTTTTAAAGAATTTATTAAATTTATTGTAATGTGTACAAAAGAAATAATACTTGATAAAAGCAGTGGTTTTCAGCTGATCCAGCTTGTAGTACCGGTTGACTAAGCACATAGGTTCTGTTCTATTGATTGAAGTTTCTCTCCTGTCTTCAGTGTTTCCTTGTATGTTGTACACATCAGAAGCACCGTCTGTTAATCCTTGTTGGCCTCTTCTCCTGTTCATGATCAGAGATACCCCAAATTTTCATTAACTTATTAGTGTAGCACTGTCATTTTTGAATTGGCAAATAAATCAGCGCAATTCCTCGTTAGTTTCTTTAAAAGTAATGTTAATTTTGGTGACATTACTTCTTACTATCATCTGATTCATTCTTTGACATGCTAATCACTTTGTAAGATGATTTTCCTTCTCCTAGCTTACTAACTCCATAGAATTTCAGCAGGATAAGATCACACCAGTAGAACAATGTATATATCTGCCTTTTTTTATTTGTTCATGGGATGAGAATGTCGATGGCTGGCCAGCATTTATTGCCCATCCTAGTTGCCCTTGAGAAGGTGGTGGTAAGGTGCCTTCTTGAATTGCTGCAGTCTACTTGTTGTGGTTTGATCCACAATGCCATTAGGAATTGAATTCCAGGATTTTGACCCAACCTAGAACATGTAGTGCCAACTCCCAGCAATTTACTATTATACTAGATGTCCCAACTCATATCTCAGAATGTTCTTCAAAACCTATCAATATCCTTTAACTAGAAGAACTGCATGTGACTCCACAACAACCATAGATACCTAAAACAAACTAAAGCTTCAAATAACCATACAAATGTAACGTACATAGACCTGTTGCATACTTCCTAAGTTACAAAATTAAACATTTTAGTCATCTAGACTCAAAATGTTAGCTTGCTTTCTCTCCATGAATGCTGTTGACCCGCTGTGGTTTCCAGCATTTTTGTTTTCAGTAAACATTTTAAAACATAGTTGTGTCTTTGAGTAAAAATTACATAAACTTCAAAATTTCTTTCATATTTGTTAACCTAAGCCATAAAAGTAACCACAAAACCATAAACCAATGACTTTAGTTTTTATCTGGGCCAAATGACTTTCTTCCTTACATAAAGTGTTTACAACTAACGTGCTCAACAAAATATAATTTAGTTCCCTGCTTGCTAAATCAAGTCAATATTTTTAATTGTTGAAAAATTACTCAATCTTACAAAATCTGGACACAAACCCTAAATGAAGGAAAATTCTTGTAAAACCCATTATGATGGTCCTAATTTTACTTTTATTCATTCATGAGATGTGGGTGTTGCTGGCTGGAAGCTGGCATTCATTGCCTTCCCTAGTTGCCCATGAGAAGATGGTGTACTGCCTTTTTGAACTGCTGCAGTCCATTTATTGGACAGCCACAATGCTATTAGGGAGGAAGTACCAGGATTTTGACCTGGAGTCACTGAAAGAATGGAAGAAAGAATATTTCCAAGTCAGGATGCCCTTGTCCTTCTAGATGGTAGTAGTCGTAGGTGCTGTCCAAGATGCCTTGCTGAAATCCTGTGGATCATCTTGGAGGTAGTACACTCTGCTGCTACTGTGCCCTGGTAGTGGATGGAGTGAATGTTTTGTGGATGTGGGCTAATTGTGTGGGCTGCTTTTTCCTGGATGGTGTAAAGCTTCTCAAGTGTTGTTGGAGCTGCACTCACCCAGGCAAATTGGCATCCAGGCATCCACTCCCGACTTGTGTTTTGCAGTTGATGGGTACGCTTTGCGGAGACAGCAGTTAACTGCTGCAGGAAGCCTAGTCTCTGGCATAGTCTTGTACCACTGTATTTATGTGCCTAATCAGTTCCTGGTTAATGGTAGCCTCTAGAACATTGATAGTGGGGGATTCAGTTATGATAATATTATTAAATGTCAAAGGGCGATGGTTAGATTCTCTCTTCTTGGAGATGCTCATGCTCTGGCATTGTTTGGCACAAATGTTACTTGGCACTTATTTGCCCAAACCTGGATGTTATCCAAGTCTTGTATTCGGAGATGGAATGTTACAATATTTGAGGAGTCGTGAACAGTGCTGAACAATATGCAATCGTCAGCAAATGTCTCCAGTTCTGACCTTATGATGGAGGGAAGGTCATCGATGAAGCAGGTGAAGATGGCTGGGCTTATGATATTACTCTGAGAAACTCCTGCAGAGATGTCCTAGAGCTGAGAAGACTAACCTCCAGCAACCAGAACCTTCTTCCTTTGATGCTAGGTATGATTCCAGTCAGTTGAGAGTTTTCATCCTGGTTCCCGTTGATTCTAGGTTTTGCTAGGGCTGGCTGATTCCACATAGATAAATGCAGTCTTGATGTTGAGAGCAATCACTCTATGCTCACCTCTGGATTTAAGCTCTTTTGCCTGTCTTTGATCCAAAGCTGTAATGAGACCAGGAGAAGAATGCATCTGGCAGAACGCAAACTGAACATGAATAAGAAGTTATTGCCAAGGAAGACTGCTTGATAGCACAGTTTTTCCATCACTTTTTATGACTGGTGGAGTGGACAAATGGGGTGACCATTGGCCAAGTTGACCTGTTTTTTTGTGTAGAACGCATAGGCTGCCCAATTTTCCACATTTGTCTAGTAGTTGACAAGTTTGTTGCTGTACTGAAACAGATTGACTAGGGGCATGTCTTCAGTACTATTGTTGGAATAGGCTGATGGGGCCCATAGCCTCTACAGTTCTCAGTGTCTTCAGCAGTTTCTTTGTATCCTGTGGAGGAGTTGAATTTGGCTGAAGACAGGCATCTGTGAGGCTGGGAACCTCCAGAGGAGCTGTAATTTATCATCTGCTTGGCACTTCTGTTTGAAGTTTGTTGTAAATACTTCAGTATTATCTTTTGCACTAATGGGTTGACTCCCCCATCTTGAAGATGGGGATATATATGGACCTTCCTCCTCCAGTGAGTTGCTTAAATTTCCACCATCATTCACAACTGCATGTTTCAGGACTGCAGAACTTAGATCTGATCTATTGGTTCTGGAATCATTTAGCCCTCACTGTTTCTTGCTGCCTGTGCTGTCTGACATGCCATCAGTCCTGTGTTGTAGCTTTGTCAGGTTGGTGCCTCATTTTTGGGAATGCTTAGTGTTGCTTCTTGCAGCTTTACTGAATCAGGGTTGATTGCCTGGCTTAATGGTAATGGTAGAATGGGGCTATATTGAGCCATGAAGTAGCAGATTGTGTTTGAGAACAATATTGCTAATGGCCTACAGTGCCTCAGATACTCTGTCTTGAGTTCCTAGATCAGTTGAAAGTTTATCCTATTTTTGCACATTGATAACACTTTACACCAAATGGATGGAATCCTCATTGTGAAGATGGGATTTTGTCTCCACAAGGATTGTGTGGTGGTTACTCATAGTTTGGCTCTTACTAATATACCATGGGCCGATGCACCTGCAACAGGCAGATTGGTGAGGATAGGATGAATGTCGAATATGTTTTTTCTGTCTTGTTGGCTCCTTTGCCACTGACCATGGACCAAGTCGAGCAACTATGTGCTTTAGGACTTGACAAGCTCCAGCAGTGCTGTTGCTGACCCACTCCTGTTAGTGGACATTGAACTTCCCCACCCAGAGTACATTTTGCCACCCCTGTCACTTGGTGTTTCCTCCAAGTGGTATTCAACATGGAGGAACAGTGATTCATCAGCTGCAGAGGGTCATACATGGTATTCAGCCCGATGCTTTGACATATCATGAGGCTTGGAGTCAATGTTGAAGATTCCCAGAGCAACTCTCCCCTCTGTGTGTTTGCCACTGTGCCACCACCTCTGTTCAGTCTGTATTCCTGGTGGGACAGGGATGGCAATGGTGTTATTTGGGACATTATCTGTAACGTATGATTCCATGAGTAGTTCAGTGTCAAACTATTGTTTGACTAGTCTGTGACCAACCCCAAATGTTTGTCAGGAAGACTTTGTAGATTTGATAGGGCTGAGTTTGCTGTCGTTTCCGGGTAGTTTGTCTGGTTTAATTCCTTTTTGATATATTTTAGTGGCTTCAGTGGGATTTCTTTTAAGTGGTTTGTTGGACGATTTCAGAGGCCAGTTAAGAGCCAACCACGTTGTTGTGGGTCTGGAGTCACATGTAGGCCAGACCTGTTAATCGTTGCCAGATGGGTTTTTACAGTAATCGACAATTGTCGTCGTTAGACTTTTAATTCCATTTTATTATTGCACCATCTGTCATAGTGGGATTTGAACCTGGGTCTCCAGAACATTACCTTGGTATCTGGATTACTAGACCATCAACAATGCCACTACACTATCGACTCCCTATTTTCTTATCTATTTATCTACAAGTGGCTCACCCAAGCCAAACCAAGAATGTTTGCTGAGAAGATTTGATGGAGCAACGAGTGCTCACTGTCACAGCTTTTCCCCCATTTTAACTTGCACCCACCCATGTTGTATTCTGTGCCCCCAATTAAGTGCACTTAACTAAACATGAAGTTATTAGCTTATATTGAAAGCTGTTTACAAAAATATATGCCAGTCTATACAAATTTTTCTTATCCTTTTTCTTGATTTTTCTGTACAATTTGGTGTCATTACATTTGGCAATTATGGCATTCTGACGAAGGCTCACTGGAGCTGAAACATTAACTTTGCTTTCTCTTCACACATGCTGCTAGACCTGCTGAGTTTTTCAGCAATTTCTGAAATTATAAACACAGTGTTCTCCTTCAGATTTCTAATGAGTACTTAAAGGAAGCAAAAGGACGATGTAGCAAGACACCTTGAACACCCTGCTTATGATAGAATTTGATTAGAAAACCTGGATATTTAAAAGTACCCTTTGTCTTCTGTCTTATGGCCAGTTTTAGTTCCTATTCTGCTCTCACAATGTGAAGCCTAATTTTGGCACATGATATCATGATTTATCAAACATTCATTGGTGTACATAGAAACAATACATTTGAGTTGTTTTTCTAGTCATTGAGGAGGAGAGTATCTGTGTTTGGAAATGCTATCATTTTTCAACGTTTCCTAAAGTCAGACAAATACTTTCAGGTCAGGTGCCACTGGCCTGTTAGTCAGTTTGTTCTACTCCGTATAGTAATTGTTCTGAAAAAACTTAATCTTCTTGAAATAATGTTTTTTGTTTGTTCCGTCAATCTTTACAGCCAATTTTTAAGTTCAAACATAAATTGATCTGCACCAAATTACTTGATTATGCTTTGAAATGTTTTCTCAGTTGCAGCCAGTGATAATTTCTATTGTTAGTTTTTTACTCAAATATTTTACGTGATATAAATAATCCAGTACTGAATGTTTCATAATAAATTGTTGAAAATTGACATTTTGTCTTTGTACAATCCAGAATATGGATGACCACAACCATCTGGCATTTGTTCTGAACCACTTGTCAGAGTTGTTGGAGCTTCTCCTAGACCCTGAACAACTCACTGCTTCATACCACACAACCCATGACAGTATGATATCTGTAGAAGCAGTTAAAGCATTGAACTTCCTCATTGAAGGAAGTGTTGGTCAGAATGAAGTAATTTATCCTGTACACGAACTGGCTCTCTGGCAACCAATTCTAGGCACATCTGGCTACTCCAGACTTTCCAAGATGTTCTGTTTCCATAAACTACAGAGCTGGTTGAGAAGTGTGCTGGGACCAAATCCATTTGGTACTGCAGTCTGCTTTCGAAAAGGGAAGAAACTGGCATGGGCGCAACAAGGTAATTTAACTGGACTAGATCTTGAAAGCAAAAGCTGTAGAACTCATTGAAATCTGAGTTTCAATTACTTCAAGTCAGCAAAAATATTTACGACAAGGAACTGTATGCAAAACAACTTGTGGTGGATGTTGGCATGTAGGACCTGAATACGAAGTGTAGATTCTGTTCTTTTTCCTGAAGTTCAGGTACATTTCATACAGTTTCTCACTGGCCCATTAAAAATAGTTATTCCATTCAAATATTACCACAAGACTTTTGCTACATATTCCTGAAAACACTTCCTGTATTGTCAAGGCTGGCAGGATTTATTTTTCCATTTTTTTACTCTTTTTATTCCCTGCCCCGCTCTCATTAATATACACCATCATACTAAGGAAGTGAAAACAATAAATCATTCTGAAGAATTTGCTGATAAGCAAGTTTGTGGGAGCTGTCCAAAGTGACGACTGTTTTTTTAACTACTTTTGGCTTAATGGGTGCACTTTCTGCCCTCTGCCCAAAAGCACTCTTTAACATCTTCTGAAAATTGGAAATATCATTTAAGGTGATAATTAGGATCTGTGATTCCCAGTTGCTCCATTGTCCAATATATTATATAATCGACAGCCTTCCTGGTCTTTCAAAAAGAGACCAGTTATACAATCGGTGGGGTGGAGAAAAGACACTATTATGAGGGCTATCTAAAGTAGATCATATAAGCACTGCATTTCTTCTCACACCCCTTGGACTTTAGTTTATGGTGATAGGTCTTCTGTTGAGCAAATTGACTCAATTAATGCATTTCAACAATTTAAGCTAATGATATATAATTTCCCTTTTTGAATTGTTAAAGTCCAATTTTAGCTGTGTTACTCTTAACTTAATCCAAATTAATTCACTTAGGATTGGGTACTTTGAGTCATTGATCTATGAAACATAATTTGAACAATGCCAAAAGCTGCCAAAATGCACATCACTAGAACTTACTTGAGTAGCCAGCAGGTTTGAAAACAGTAATATTTTAGATTTGGAAGAAAATAATTTTGGAATTGTTTTGGCAAATGTTAAGATGCCTTACATATTGACATGGTATTAGTTTTTTTCAACTCTGAAGGAAAAGCTGCCGCACTGAATAAAGGTATCACTTAGCATTATCATTTAGTCGTTTGCTTTGTCTCCAGCACCACCTTAATTTTAATTTTCTGTAATTATCTCTCTGCCTCATTTAATCAGATTACCCTTCGCTGGTTATTCATCTGTTGACACTTTAGTCACACCGTCTGACACTTTGGATCACCTGCAGGGACTTATTATTCGACACTCCACTCATACCATTTGTATGATCTTTTGATCTCTCTGCCCATAAATTCTGTGTGCTTCTCTTTCACTTCAGCTGACGAAGGGGCTACCATCTGAAAGCTTGTGATTTCAAATAAACTTGTTGGACTATAACCTGGTGTCGTGTGACTTTGTCCATCCCCGTCCAACACTGGCACTTCCACGTCATTTTACAGCGCTGGGGTCAAAATGTCCTTTGTTTTTAAGGGGATTCTTTAGAAAGACTTTTTTTTTCAAGGTTTACTATTTGGTTTTTGGGAGTACTTTTTCACTAACTCATTTAGTAGCCTTCTCCTCCCCTCTTGCAGCCCTGCACTCCTCTGGCAGTTACCTCACATCTCCAAAGCTTGATCCATCCTCTTCAAACCATCCTGCAATTGCTTTCTCTTTGTACCCTTGCCCTCCTCTGGTTTATGCGCCCACTCTGGACCCAGCAGACAGAACTCCTACATTTAATGAAAGGCCTTTCTGGCCACTACAGAAGGTCCTGCCTCCTGGCTAGGAGGTTGCTCTTAGCTTCTCCAAATGACGCACTCCAACAACAAGTTGCACATCCCAAACCTGTGACCTACCTTTTAGACAGACAAAGGTAGCAAGTATTTAACACCATCAGTTCCAAGTCACACAGCATTTTGACTCGGATAAAATTTGCCTTTCCTTCATTGTTGCTAAGTTTTCTCTGTTACATTTCAACTCATTTATGGTAGACTTAATTATTAGATCTGTAATTTAGATTGTGCTGTTGACTCTGCTCTTATGGGTTTGCTCCAGCCAGCCACCTATTTTTGATATTCAGACTTCTAACAATGTAGACAATATTACTGAGCTACTTTCTCTGTTTCTCAGTTGAAGGTACGACAAAAAGGGCAAAGATTGCATGCAATATTTATACAGCACCTAAAGGCCACAAGGTGGTGGTAATGACACAAGTGTACAAGCAAACCCTGGCTAAGAGCTCAGATCATCTAGTTGGAGCTCACATTAAAATTCATCGCTGCAATGACTGCTATATATATCTCTTATCTCCTTTAAGGTGAGATTTACATTTACAGAAGGAAAAAAAATGAGGATTTGATATTACTTTTAAACTGAAAAATAAAGCTGACAATTAATAATTTTATTCATAATATCAATATATGTTTATTTCTGTGTGAAAATCTAGATTTTCTTTAGGTTTTTCAGTAAGGTTTGAATGATCTAGATTGTGCAAAATAAAATCACTATGCTGTGTGCTTATCTTCAGGCAATTATGTCATTCCTTCACTGTAGGAGGAACTTTGTACTATTTTTGTGTTACCAAGAAGTATTAACTTTAAGTAGACTGTCTGTAAAAAGCAACAGTTTCTATTTATATAGCACCTTTAATGTATTAAAATGCTCTTACACGTTCAATAGAGCAGCATAAAACAGACTATGGCACTGAGTCACATGACATTGTTGGGCAGATGACAAAGAGTGTTGTATAGGAGGAAATAAGGTAGATAGGAAATTCCTGAGCTTCGAACCTTAGGAATTGAACATACGCCCCCAGTAGTTAAATTTGGGACTGCTCAAGAGGTCAGAGTTTGGTAAGCGCACATCCCAAAGGGTTGTGGTCTTGGAGGAGATTACGGAGATAGGAAGGGCAAGGTCACAGAGGGATTGAGAAAAGAGGATGAGAATCTTAAAATCAAGACATTGTGTGACATTGAGATCAGGCTTGATAGATAAATGAGACTTTTGCAAGTTAAGACATGAGTTGTACAATCTTGGATAACGGGCTCACAATGCAAAAGAATGAAGGATCAGTCAGGATTGTAGTGGAATATTCAAGTCTAGGTGTAACTAAGGCATGAGTGAGGATTTTTGTAGCAGACGAGTTATGGCAGAAACAAAGTCAGCTATTATTATGGATGTGGTAATAAGCAGTCCGAGCGATGGCACAAATGTGATCAGAAGCTTGGTTCAGGGTCACCTATGACATCAAGTTTGCAAACAGTCTGACTTGGTCTTGGACAGTTGTTAGAGAGAAGAATGGAGTTGCTAAATAAGGAATAGAATTTGAAGTGGTCGTGGAGACAGTTTACCTGACATGTAATTGGAGGAAATTTCTGCTTGTAGATGTCATAACAGTCCACTAATTTAGCAACGTTTGAGTCATCGGGAAAACTGATAGTACATAGAGCTGGTTTTGGTAGTTTGTATGTCAAACTATTGGTACAGCTTTGAAGCTGAGGGGCAGCACATATATAAAATATAGGAGAGGGCAAATGATAGAGCAGGAAGTGAAACTATTGTAACTGATACTTTGGCTGCCATGAGATGAATAAGAATAGAACCAGACAAGAGCACTCGAACCTAGGTAGATAATAGCGGAAAGGAGGGTTGTGGGTTTAGGTAAATACTAGAGACAGCTTGAGAAGGACAAGGAGATATGGTTTCCCTCTGTGATAGTCAGGTAAGACTCTCCAGGAATCTAAGGTGAATAAGCTACACTGTGCAATGAATTGAAGTGCGAACATGTTGCAGCTTGAAATCACACAATTTAGGTTTGTGCCTGTCCTTGTGATTCCCCTCACTCTGACTCACTGACACCTGGTTTGACTGGTGGAGACATGTAGTGGAGTCCAAACATTTTCCCTCAGGAATGCATACATTTCAACTGACTGCTCATTGGTAAGGGTCTTGGATTGAATTAGTTGCTCAAACTCAAGACAAAAAGTGGTGCATTAAAGCAGGTTTTCAGATCTTTAGTAAGGGAAGAAGAAAATCTAGTTTGAATAAGTAAGTACATATAAAGAATTTTTGTACGTCTATATTTTCTTTATGTAATTTGCTTTCTCGTTGCAGGTCTGTCAGTATTGAGAAGTGCCGAAATACAACCTTTGTTCTCGGTCCTGTTCAAACAACCATCCACATCCATAGCTGCGATGATGTGAAAGTAATAGCTATCTGCCACAGACTTTCAGTCTCATCATCATCTTCATGTACTTTTCACTGTCTCACACCCACCAATCCTCTAATCATGTCTGGAAACATGAGCTTAACATTTGCTCCGTACCATACTTACTATCCATTGTTGGAGGATCACATGGCAAAGACAGGGATAGCCACGATCCCCAATTACTGGAATAAACCATTGTGTATTGGTGTGGACAACAATGAAATGCCTGTCTATCAGCTGCTATCCCCCAGAGAATTTCATCTGTTTGTGATCCCGTTTGAAATAGAGGGTGATACGATGGAAATCCCTGGAGGACTACCACCACAATATGAAAAGGCTGTAAGACAGAGAGAGCAGAAGATTCAGAATTGGCAGAAGACTATTAAGGAGGCTGGGCTTAGCAAGTTAGTAAATTTACACTGAAAATGCTGAGATTACTGCTTTTCTACCATCTCCTTTCTTGAAGGCATTAACCTTGTGGGTATGATATTATGTATGCCAAGAGCACTCCTTATTGTTGCTTAGACAACTGTTTTGCATATGTGAATCAAAGACAGTAATCTTTCAAAATATTTTGTCTGTGGAGTCATCTGAACTAACCCATATTCTAGCTTGGTGTTCACACTTGCAATCAAGAGTTGGATCCTCACTGATGTTTGTTTTTTGTCCTCCCTGGCCACCTAGGGACAGTGAGGCTGTTTGTAATGCCTAACCTGTCATTCCAGCTGAGATCAGCTATTTCACTGCGAAATGCTATTGATCTGAAACGTACAAATCAGTGTAGCTTGGTAAAAGATACAGGGGGTTATTTGTTCACTGCACCTTATGATACTCTTATCCCTTTCAGTTCTGACAAGGATCAGAATATCCATAGTGGCAACATCACACCGAAATCTATTTCAGATTCACCCTTGACCTGGAGGGAATAACCCAGTTTCATTTGGAATGAGGAAAGATGTTACTGTTGCCTTCAGTGTCATGAACTAAGGAAGAGAGAATGTTGGTATGCTTTCCCACTTCTGACTGCTGTACAATGAGCCTGTTGTATTTTACCTGAAATTGGTAAATGATCATGGGCCTTATAGTAAAATACCGCCTGTGGACTGGCAAGCCCATCTCCCTGGAATGGTCCTAGATTCACTAGTGTCATTTTTTGGTAAATCTCCTGTTGTAAAGATTCATTTTAAAATTTAAACTATACATGTATATTACCAATTTAGGTGGGTTGTCCACTACAGTATATATACTAGTTACAGACATTCTTGTAAATTGTAGCTTCGCAACTTGTAGGGTCAGTTGTCTAATCTTTTTGTATAAACATCCATCTCACAAATGGTAAGAATTGTTCTCCATACTGGCAGCACCTATAAAGTAATTACATCACCTCTCAATACTTTTTTATGTAAATAATGGATGCCATGAGATAAATATAGAATCATCAGAACTTCAGAATGCTATTATCATTATTCTAGCCTCCTAGCCCTTCAAAAAGCTTTTCACCTAGTAATCATTCTCAGGTAACCATTCTATAGTTTATCTGTCTAGTTATATGAAGCATCAAATGCTTGTATTCTTGTATTCCTTCCTAAGAAGCGCTGTGTTAACAGGGCATGGAACTGCACAATAAAATTTGTAATGGGAGATCTTTGGACCATTTGGACTTGGATGCTGACAATGGAGCTTTGTATGCCTACTGCATTGCACCAACATGATAGTGAAGGTGGCAAATTATTGAGTTTCTGGTATGTTAAGTATGGAGGATGTTAAGTGTACATCCACCTGCTTCAACAATAAAAAATAAATTTAAATTCAAGAGTGTAAATAAATTATATTCCTACTAGAAAATGGCATGAATTTGTTTTAAGTGATTGGAAAATGCATTTTAACTTTTTATTCTTTTCATGGTGGAAGGCAGCTATAAAGTACATAATCTCCGAAGATGGTACAGTAGCACAACTTTAGTTTTGATTCACATAAAACTTCAAATTTGCAGGTGGGCAAAAGCGATAGAACGAAGGGATTTTCTTGTTGATCAGTTGCTGAACTTGCAGAAACTGAACAGATTCTTTGTTTCTGGCTAATGGATTTATTCTGGTTGAAGGTTTAAAATGTTTTCAGAAGTTTGCTGACATTTTGACTGCTGTCTTCCAGGGAACAACGCAAACTGTTTCAAAACATAGTGGAGCAGGAGTTCTGTGAATGGCTTGATCAAACTGGACATCGTCAGCAACTGGACAGTCTCATCCCAGCTCCTCCTTCCTCAAAACACACTATGTGTTGATGATTAAGAAGTTGTTTGGGGATTATACTTATCACTATAATTGAACCAAATGTGAGCTCCTGTTATTGCATGTCTTTCCAATGTACTTTTTTGTGAGTCTTTGTCATTCAATTGTGGTTAAACTACGCTTTTCACAAAGATGTTTTACAAGAAATTTATGGCACACATTTGAGACATTAGTGCCATTACTGTATTCCAAATAGCTTTACATTAAACTTTGTAACTGGGTCAACTAGGATAGTCTTATAATTAGATTTTGTTCAAGATACATTTCACTTTTGTTCTTAGCACCAATATAATGGCGATTTATACAGTCTTTTAAAAAAAAATCATTCATGCAAAATAGTTTTATGACTGGCTGTAATGAAAATTCATTTTCCATACAAGGAGCTTGACCTCTCACTGTGGATGTAGCTTTAAAGCCAGGGAGATAGAGAAATATTCCCATTTATTAGAAATGTGTGTGTCTCTCTTCTTCCCCTATCTTCTAACATCACCAACCCCCTTCCCCACCAAAACCATCTCTTCCTCACTTCTGCTGGCAGTTTCAAAAGCTTTAACTGTGTTCCTAACACAATTGGGATCTTTAATACATCTCAAAATTTATTTCCTTAATCTTCTCAACATTCTCAAGGGCAACGAAGAATGGGCAATAAATGTTGGCCTAGCCAGCAATGCCCACATCCCACAAGTGAATTGTTTTAAAAAAAGAGTTTTTGTGGCCGAATAAAAACTTTCAGTTCTGCCTTGTGTTTCTTTTTGTTTAAGTCCAAGTGATTTAAGATCCCAAATGATTTATCACTCCAGCCTCTGTTACTACACGAAGTGATTTAAGTTGCTGGTCCAACAGGGGAGCACCTTTGAAATTAAGGATTTTGAAAATGAAATTTGTTCAATTATCTTGAATTAAACATTACATCCATTTTGTCTAAGTCTTAAACTGTAACAGTTGATTTGTTGCAGTAATTTTACTACTTTTGGGAATATTTGTATTATCCATGATGAATAACATTCTGTAAATACTCATATGGAATAATATGAAAAATAATATATCCTTTAATACTAATTGGATAATAAATTTATCTTTTCAACCAATTAACAACTAAAATGTTGAATCCCAAATGCATTGTGTTCCTCTGGTTTGTTGTGCATTAAATTAAACATGGCTTTAGATTAATAATATTTTTGTTCATTTTTTAAAATTTCTATTCTGGGAAAGGTGGAATTTTTAAAAAAATTGTGGAGTTAATATTTTGTAATTTTGTTGTTTTGATTTTAAGCTATCTCCATCTTCCTGAGAACGTAAAATTTTCTCATATTTCTGCAAGTGGTATTGGTCAGCTAAGTAAAGCCACAGTCCAAAGAGTTCTGTCTATTAAATATTTCACTAGAGGGAAATGTTTGCCTTCAGTTGGCATCTCCCTGCAGATATATAAATCCAGATATCACTCCTGCCATGCCAGGAATAAGTCTGGTAAACCTTCATTGTGCTGTCTCCAGAGCAGTGCATCCTATCTCAAATAAAGGGATCAAAACTGCACAGTATACCCCAGATGTACTCTCACCAAGGCCCTGTGCAAATGCAACAAGGTATTACTGCGACAACAAGGTGCAGGGCTGGATGAACACAGCAGGCCAAGCAGCATCATAGGAGCAGAGAGGCTGACGTTTCGGGCCTAGACCCTTCATCAGAAAAGGGGGAGGGGAAGGGGGTTTTGAAATAAATAGGGAGAGAGTGGGAGGCGGATAGAGGAGTGCAGTGGGAGAGACTGTACTTGAATCGTTTGCTGTGAAGGCCAGCACACCATTTGCTGCCTTCACCACCTGCTGCGACTGCATGCTTACTTTCAGCAACTGATATACAACGACACCCAGGTCTCATTGCACCTCCCCACTTTCCCAATCTATCACTATTCAGGTAGTAATCTACATTGCTGTTTTTGCTACCAAAGTGGATAACTTCACACTTACTGTAAATTAACTATTGCATAGGTTATGAGTGTGCGCATGCTGTCATGTAGTGTACACAAAATCCTGGGAGATGTGTTCAGATTCAGAATTGCAAAAGGTGGAATCAATGCCAGTTACTCTGTAGAGAGGCTACAGAGCTTTTTTCTTTATATATAGTTTCCTGGCAGACACCCATGAAATATTGTTGCAGCAATCAACACATATGGACTTTGGCCAACAGAAATTTGTGACAGAGGAAATTCACAATGAGTTTTGGAGGCAGAGAAATGTTGTGCAACATAGTAACAGGCTGGAGTGATAAAATGGTGTATATCCAATCAGACCATCTTCATTTGAAATACAACTGCTTTCCTCTTCCACCCCATCCCCAGTTCACTGCTTACATTAAGGAAAATCTAAATTCTTCCATCACGTCAAGCAATACTTATATGTTATAATTTGTCCATTGCCTAAATTGGTTGTGTTAGGAATAGGCAGAAGAATGGAACATTAGCAGATACATACATTCTCCCAAAGGGGCAGATGAATAAAGGGCATTAAAGAGGAAGGCATACCTCGAAACATTGAAAGAATGAACTCGAGTTAACATTTAAAGGAGTATGCTCTTTGACCACCAAATCAGGTATTTTTCATGTCTTAGGAACCTTTTGTTTCTTGGTGACCATATTTAATGTTTAATAATATCCCACTTAAAACACATCAGTCACGAGAATTTGGTTAAGGAAAGTTAATTCATAAGAATCTTTTTAAAACAGACAGATGTAACACAGTTACCTCAAGCCTTTGTCAACTGAGCACTGTCAGAAATTTGCAAACTAAATAAGGATCTGTGAAATAAAAATAGGCATGAATCTATTTTTGATCATTAGCTGCAACGTAATGTAAGAACTAACCTGACAAAAGCTGTTATTTATTCCGCATTGTGTTCTATTTTTTCACCCTTTCTTGAAGATGTTGACTTTCTTACAAAATAAAATTCCACTGTCTTTCAGTATTTCACAAGGTTCTTGTTCTAGCACTGCTAAGCTTGACCCTGTCCCATTTGGGGACGAATAGTTAGAACTTGTTAAAGTTATTTATCAGGATACTGCAGTGGTCAATAGATTGTCTTTACAATGTCCTAGTGGTAAATAAAACAAAGAATAGAATGCATTTTGTCAGCTCCTTGCAGTTAAAGAAACTGAACCCTACCCCCACTGCCCTGGTCTCCAAGGCCAATTCTTTTGTCTGCTGAAGATAAGTAACTCCCCACAGACCAACGACAAGTTGAAACTGAGAGTTTCATTGATGGAATTTTTACTGATGAGTTACCAAGGCATCTGTTCAGAGCTTTGTTTTTGATCAGCAGCTTGATTGAAACAAATTATTCTAATTATTTCCATCCCTGATTGTCCACATGCTTTTGTTTGACTGATTCAGCAAAGCTGGTAAATTTATCCTCAACAATAGTCCAGTGGTCAGAATAAACTGTTAAGGGAAATTCACGCTCTAGTTATTTTATTATCCCATCAGATTTTCTAGAAAGTTTGCTGGATTTGAAATGACTGACTCAATGTTTTGATCTGATTTCCATGACAAAAGGGTGATATCCTGTAAATCCAGCAGTGTATAAAAGCAGTGTCCATGATTTCCATAGACACAGCGATTAGACAGGGACATCCAAAATGGGGAAAGTAAGTAACACTGAACAATGTTTTTGCCTGTTTATTTTTGCTTAGGTTATTAATCATAAATTACACAGTGTGTAAATAGGTTGCCTTTTTGATATATCAGTGCTATCGGATACTGATAGAAACATTTGATTTGAATTATTCAAAATCAAGAAGGGGCTGAACAGAGTAAATAGGGAGAGAATGATCCCACTGGTGAACACAAAGGGTGCAGATTTAAAGCATTTTAGTAAAAGAATAAAACAAATATGGAGGAAAATCTTTTTCCATACAAGGAATGGTGAGTGTGTGGAATGCACTGTCTTAGAGTGTGGAGCAGGCAGGTTCGATTGATAGACGTAAAGAGGAATTTTATGGTTATTTGAAAAAGAATAATGTGTAAGATAATGGCGAGAAGGCAGGAGAATGGCATTAAACAATCTGCTTACACAGAGGGCTGACTGAGATCGTGGGCTGAATGGCCTCCTGAACTGTAATAATGCTGTGATTCTGACAAACTGTTTTCAAAGCTGTCACCCCTTAGCCAAAGCGTAATCAGGTAACAAAACTGAAGAAAACAAAGAACTACGGATGCTGGAAAACTGAAACAAAAAAACCCAGAAATTGCTGGAGAAACTCAGCAGGTCTGGCAATATCGTTGGAGAGAAAACAGTTAAAGTTTTGGGTCCAGTGACCCTTCTTCAGAACAATTAGTAGCTAGGAAAAGGTGGCATATATGCTGCAAACATGGAGTGGGAAAGGGAGTAAGCCAATAGGTGGGGATGAAACCCAGAGAGAGAGAAAGAAAGGAAAAGGGATGGATAAGGATAAGTGAGGGAGAAAGGAAAGCTGATAATGGGGGGCAATAAGTAGGTGCAGATAGGTTGGTTTTACTGAATACAGCCCATGTCATAACAGGGCCACCCATGTCGGGGTGGATAAAGGACATAGAGGAAGGCGTTCAGATTTTAAAATGATTGAACTCAATATTGAGTCCTGAAAGCTGCAGGATCCCCAAACGGAAAATGAGATGAGCAGAGCTAATTACTTTGCTTTTCTTTGTCCCATGACAAATTGAGCTTGCTGACAGTTAAAGCAGTGTTTGAAAACATGCTGACAGGTTTGTTTGAATGTTCCCTACAATAGCTAACTAAGATTTTTCAATGGGATTTGAGTAAGAGTGAAACCTATTGGTACACACGTTATCCAGCATTTGAATGGCACTAAAAAAGACAACTGTTCAGGTTTCATCCCCAAATGCACGGACAAGTGGGGCAGTTATGACAGTATTGAGTCTACTAACTTGTCAGAAAGAATGCATGCTGGGGAGAAAAGGATTGGGTTCAGTGGAATGTCCCTCAAAGTCAGGTCAGCTTGCTGCCATTCGCATGAGAAATGGTAAATAGGAGTAGCAACTTTGCTTTGATCTCAGGATCCAAATAGTTAAATAAGGATTGGGATTGGTAGTTCTGATTCCTCTCTAATTTTAGAGCCATTGTCTTTTGTGGTCTTATTCTTTGTGATTTCTAAACTACTAGGCAAGATTGCTGTACAATATTGAGCCAGGACTAGCTCCCAAGTGTGTAAACCAGTTGTTCCAAAAATATCGGAGATAACAAGGTGTAGAGCTGGATGAACACAGCAGGCCAAGCAGCATCAGAGGAGCAGGAAAGCTGACGTTTCGGGCCTAGACCCTTCTTCAGAAATCAGCAGAAATCTTCAGAAATAGTTCCTACTATCTCTATTCCAAAAATATCTTTTTCTTTCTTTCTTGCACTCTGCAGTATGAATCAGGCCGACAAAGGTTGAAAGCTTTATCTTGCTGCAGTTCACTCCTGTGCAGCCAAGCAAGAGTGAATGCCTGCAGAGGAGCTGGAGAAATAAAATTGAAGAGGGAAAACAGAGAAGCAGCTCTTTAAATAACCCCAAATCTACACTTTCCACTGTTGACCCTTCGGGAATCAGTACCTGGATTTTACATGACTCTTTCAAGATAGAATTTTACTTTAAAATGACAACTCTTCCCTTTCATTGGGTATCTATAAAAGGTCTCATGTCACATTTTCAGCTTGCTGGCTAAAATTTACCACTCAACTATGATCAATAAAACAGGCATTTGAGTCCTGATAACAAAAATATGTTGGATGCCCCGAGATCTGAAATGAAAAGTGCTGGAGGAACTCGGCATGTCTGTCAATCTCTGTGGAAAGGAGTGCAAAATTGATGTTTTGAATCCAATAATACTCTTCTTTGGAACAAATCTATTCATCATTACATTGCTGTTTGTGGGAGCTTGTGTGTAACTTGTCTGCTGTGTTTCTTATATTAGCATTAACAGTGCTATACGTCAAAAGTATTTAATCTGGCTAAAAAGCACTTCTGGATTCCCTGACGATGAATCCAAGACTTCATTTTCGTTTAATACAAACATGCAAATAAAATAGTTAAGGTGACTGGATGAGATGATAAGGATTCTTGGCTATAAATAGAAATATAGAATACAAACCAAGGGACTGTTGGCATTAGTCACTGGATAGACCTCAGTGAGAGCCTTGCATCTACCACATGGTCAGAAATGACGTTAAGGTCTTGGATTGCAGAGGTTTATCAGAATTGTACCAAGAGTGGCGAATTTGGTTCTACAGAGATTCTAGATTATCTGAAACTATTCTTTTTAGTGTTTTTCTTTCACACACCAAGTTGTAACGAAATGGTAAGGTACCACATACTAGGCTTGTTAGCAGTATTGAAGCTGATGTGGGTAGAGTGCCTGCATGGACACAAACTTGTCTCAGAGAGCAGCAGTGAATGGATGTTTTCCAAACTGGAAGGAAGCATATGCAGTCATATACTCCAGGGGCTAGAACTGGATGTACAGGCATCTACTAAAATTTTTCAGATGGTATGTAACTCAGAACTACAGCAAGCAGTGATGCAGGAACAGAATTCAGAAAGTCATTGCCATGTGCCTACCTATTTCACCTGTCTAACAGAATTTAACATAAAGAAGTGATTCCTTTGGGCAATAAGAATGAGGTGGGGTAATTTAATCTAAATGATAGTATTTTAAAGTAGATTCAGAAAGGAGTGACCCTGGGATGTGAATACACATGTCTGCGAAGGTGACAGGATAAGTTGAAAGGCTGTTACACAAGAATACACAAGATCCATAGCTTTATAAATAAGAATCTAGAACTTGAAGAATATTACATTAAACACTTACGAAACATTAGATTTGCCGTAACTCCAGAAATGTGGCCAATTCTGGACAGTGCACTTTAGGAAGAATGTCAAGGCCTTGGAGATGCTCAGAGGTCATTTATTAGAATGATAATAAGGACTAATAGAGACTTCAATAATGTTGTTTTCCTAAAAGCAGAAAAGGTTAAGAGAAGACCTGTTTCCAAAGCCTTCAAGGTTTGAGAAACAATAACTCAGGAGAAATTGTTTCCAGTGTCAGTAAAGTCAGTGTCCAGAGGTCACGGATTCAGTAAAATCATAGAATCCCTACAGTGTGGAAATAGGCCCTTTGGGCCAACAAGTCCACACTGACACTGAAAGCATCCCACCCAGACCCATCCCCCTAATCTACACATCTCTGAACACTATGGGCAATTTAGCATGGCCAATCCACCTAGCCTGCACATCTTTGGACTGTGGGAGGAAACTGGAGCACCTGGAGGGGACCCACGCGGACACAGGGAGAATGTGAAACTCCACACAGACAATTACCCAAGGGTGGAATCAAACCTGGGTCCCTGGCACTGGGAGGCAGCAGTGCTAACCACTAAGCCACCGTGCCACCCTACAAATAAGCAAAAGAAGGAGAGGCAACATAAGGAAAGATATTTATAAACCTCAAGTGATGATCTAGAAAGCATTCCTGAAAGGGTGGAAGCAGATTCATTAAAAACTTCAAATGATTATGCTGGACAGGGGAAAGACCTGGGAAAAACAGTGGTCATGGATATCGCTCTGAATCTATGATCTAGAACTGTGTGCCTCTAAAGCTGGTAAAAGTTGATTCAACAATAAACTTCAAAATTGCAGTGGATCAACATTTAAAAAAAAAACATTTTCTTTAGGGCTACAGGGATAGAGGGCAGTGGTACTAATTGAATAATTATTTCAGGCAGGATGAACCATGTATCGTGTATTTTAATTCAGTCGTGGGATGTTGGTATTGTTGGCTGAGCCAGTTTTTTTTGCTTTTTCCCAATTGCCCTGGAAAAGGTGGTGGTGAGCTGCCTTCTTGAACAGCTGCAGTCCATATGATGGAATAGAGACACCCACAATGCT